AGGAGAGTAAGCAAGTGTACCTCGTGATAACATGTCGACACCTAACAACGTTCAAGCTCTTTCAACAGACTATTGCCTAGAATACGTGTCGGAATCGGCTGAGGTTCGATCGAGTTATGAGCATTTTGGTGAAGTCAATTAGTTCAGCACTTTTGCCTATTTCACGTAAAACGTGAAACACGACCGCTCACTCGGAAAGCTAGTCTCAGGAAATGAACTAATTTGATGCCGGGAATTTATTTTTTNTCACTCGGAAAGCTAGTCTCAGGAAATGAACTAATTTGATGCCGGGAATTTATTTTTTTGTTGAAAAAAATGAAATGACACCAGTTCCATTTTAAGAATCTGAAGCGGATAGAGCGGTGGTGCATCAGATGTGAACGATAGCACGGAAACCGCTGTAACTCTCTTCTAACTCCACTAAATCCCACGAATTTTCTTTTGTTCGAAAGACGTGTCGAAGATGAATGAAACCAGCAAATCCGCTTGTGAGAGACAAGGAAAAGCTGCTCAACCTTTCAATATTCAAGAAAGAAACGATGAATAATCAACTTACCTCCCATATAGGGTTGAAGTTCAAGANTTCAAGAAAGAAACGATGAATAATCAACTTACCTCCCATATAGGGTTGAAGTTCAAGACTTAGACATTGAATGTCACTCTGTGGATCCTGAACATTTGAAATTTCCCATAAAGTTATAGATTAAATAAAACAAACTTGTATGGCCATGTTGTGCACTATCGGGAATGTATCAGTATGAGTACGAAACCAATTGACATCACGAGGTATCCGTCTGCTACAAAAAGTATAAAGGGCTCTAGTAAGATTCTAAGAGAAGCGGTTTCACGCAAGCGCATGAAATAGTGTCTAACTTCCATCAAGCATTGGCGAAACACCAAAAGAAATTTTAAAAAGTCGGGTGGTCTGTTCATCCTTCATAACTATTCTGTAGAGTTGTGGTTATCATTATCTTTGTTATAAGCGACTTGTCGTGATTGGTAGGGTGGGGGAAACAGAAATGAGGTCAAGGCGTTGCCTATTTTTTGTTTCTTTGCAAACTTCATAGTATAGTTCGTAGATTGATTTTCTTTATCTACTATTATTCTTTCCTTAACACTATCGATTTCGTTTCCAAAATGATAAAGCTCTCACAGACTTGTTCGGAAATGCATAAGTTGCAGGTAACGACGTGATGAATACAGTAGTCGTCAGTCTTTTTCTCGTGACACTTTTACATGCAGGTACGATTGTTTTGAAAGTTGTGAGAGATGGTTGAACACAGGAGAAAATCTTGTGTTCGACTGAAAGAAGTATCAACATGACAGCATACTTAGGTATCTTTCAGGCAGGATAACCCGATCCATCACTGCTACTCATGTTTCTACATCAACGGTGGCTCCACTACATAGCAACAACTCATTCGTGAATCCAGCCATTTTATCTCCTAAACTAGACGTTGAAAAGGAGCTAACCAAGATTGCCGCCATCTGTCTCACCGAAGCAGAATACGAAGAGTCATCAGGAAATGTTGTTAGATACTTCTACGCTCGAGCCCTTTCGATAGCTTTGCTGCAGCAGAGCGTTTGTAGCATAGGCCTGGGGGAATTGCGCGCAATTTTCAATTTTTCACCTCTTCGTCCCTGGACGATATACAATTATACAGAGCCGAGTGAGGTGGAACTACGAGATGCACCCACTCTAGAGGCATATTATGATTTGAGAGAACCGATCTCTCCACAGAGCAGCCTCAGCGGTTCTCACTTGTTTGAGCATAATATGCCTGCCGGTATCGCATTTGTGGATTCTCACTTCCCGTCCATACGCGCTATATTCCGGCAGATATTCAAAGAGAAATATCCCAAAACAGGATCGATAGATAAGAAGACAGTAGATTTTATGATCGACCGATACTCTGACATTCGTTCTAAAATATATAAAGCAATTGATAAAATGATATTCAACTGTTGAGTTGATTAGTTGAATAAAAGAAATTGAGCATATATTATTTTGTGCTAATCTCAGCGGCAGTTTCACCTACCTGAACAGTCCCGCATGGGCTAGGCGTCGCCATCTTTCGGTTTTATGACTGAATGAGTAACTCTTGAGTTAGTTGTATTTTGATTGTGATGTTGTTTTTATTGCTCACTTCTCTTTCTCACCCTTCTTGTCTTAGAAGTGTAGATTGTTCATGTTAGCCTTTCATTTCTTCTTGTTAATTATCCTCATTCTGGTTGTTCTATCTCATAACCTTATTTTAAACTCATCAGAAGTTTGAATTGAAGTATGTGTTTTACCATGGACTGAACTCTCTTGCCTCCTGTCCTGTGATCTCGACACGACGGGAAAAATAAAAAATTCAAAAAAATTTGACGCTGAGTGTCATAGATTCGCCTCCCCCTAGGGATCTGGTCCGTGGGGACCGTGAAACGTGAAACTTCACGT